TATAAAATCAACCTCTTAAAGAAAATCCATCTTTTTGTCAGTTTATCTTTAGTAATTTGAATCTATCTTTAGTAACTTGAATGCCTTTACTGTTCAGTATAATGAAGCAAAACTTTTGATGTACATTTCTTTCTGCTTCTTACGAACTTCTTTTCAGTCTATATTTGAGGCAGGTAAAATTTATAATAGGTTTCCATATTTCAAGAGAAGAAGACACTTGAAATCATCTATGAAAGGTACCAAGACTCTGCATTGTCCTCATCCTTCCTCTGTGCTAGAACCGTCCTGAGTTTATTCTACTTATATAGGGACAGCTATGTTAGCAGTGGGATAGTTCCCTGAGCACTTTCAAAGTGCTCCCTTGACACGTGGATGAAACTAAGTCCTGGAAACTCCTTCCATGTTGGAAGTAGACAAGGATAAATACTTACAGCCAATGTAGCCTCTGACATTGGAGGTAGGGCTTTAGGGAGGAGGTATGTGTTCCTTGATAGCACATATTTTTCTTCTCTGCACCTTTATTTTTTTCTTCCTTCCTTCCTTCTTTTTTTTTTTTTTTTGTACCAGGAATTGAACCCAGGGCCTAATACATCCTGGGCAAGTGCTCTACCTCTGACCTATATCCTCAGCCCTTCTCTGTGCTTTTAAGGGCAGTGAAAGATAAGATTGACAACGTGGATGAACCCAGAGGACATGGCGCTAAGTGAAAGAAGCCAGACACAGAAAGACAAATGCTGAATTATCTCACTTACACGTAGAATCTTAAAAAGTCAGCATCAAAAACAGAGTAGAATGGTGCTTTCCAGGGGTGGTGATGGAAGGTGTAAATAAGGAGATGTTGGTCAAAGAGTATACGCTTTTGGTTATAAGATGAATAAATTCTGGATCTCTCAGGTACAGCATGGTGATGATAACTAATAATTCAAATTTGCTAGGTAGATCTTAAGTATTCTTATTGCATACCCCAAATGGTAAGTGTGTGAAGTGATGGATGTTAACTAGCTTGATTGTGGTAATCACTTTATAATATATGCACATATCAAAACATGTTGAATATATATATAATTTTTGTCAGTTATACCTCAATAAAGTTGGGTGGAAAAAATACTAAGATCAATTCATGTTAGAGCAAGCAAAGTTGCTATAATAGCCCCCAACTGAACGCTGTATTTGAAAGAGAAAAAATAAGCTGAGGGTGGGGTTCAGTGGTAGAGGATTGGTCTACTTGTGCTAAGGTCCTGGGTTTGATCCCCAGAATTGGGAAAAAAAAAACATTGCTGAAGGAGAAACAACATCCAGGTATCCTGGCATAGCAGGCACTGCTCAAATCCATTCAGTTTTTGACTGTGTGCCAGAGTATTTATTAGTAGCATTTAAAATAAATGGAGCCAGGTGAGGTGGCACACACCTGTAATTCCATGGCTCCGGAGGCTGAGACAGGAGGATTTGGAGTTCAAAATCAACCTTGGCAAAAAGCAAGGCATTAAGCACTCAGTGAGACCCTGTCTCTAAATAAAATACAAAATAGGACTGGGGATGTGGCTCAGTGGTCAAGTGCCTCTGAGTTCAATATCTGGTACCCCAAGATAGATAGATAGATAGATAGATAGATAGATATAATGAGTGAGATCCTTTCTGATAACCATGATACATATACAGTGTAAAATAATTAAATAAATCTAACTAAAATATCCTTCGCTTCAAATATTTCTATTTTTTGTGATGAGATAGGAATGAGAGAGGAATTTTCTGTGAGCTAGACAATTTTTGCCATTCATATCATAATGGAAATGAACTTTGTTTTGGTTTCTATTTTGGTTAAAAATGTATTTTAAAACTCCTCTGATCCATCAATGCAACATCTTGTACCCAAAAGCTTAATTGTGTAAGCCAAATCTTCTTAATTTCAACACCAGCAGCTGATATGTGTCATTATCTGATAACCCTAAATTTGTTACATTTATTGATGCGTTACTGATTTCAGATCACCACTCGTAAAATGCATTTGTCCTTGTAAATCTTGATAGTAGTCATTATAAATTTGTTACCAGGATTTTGTTACTGGAGCTACCTTCTGATGATTGGCTTGTGATGGCGGCCACTCAGTGCCCTGCTGTCCTTGGTCTTTGGGACAAATGATATTTTGCATGGCAAATAGTCGGCTTCTCTTGTAATTTTTTCAGTTACTCGTTAGAAGTAGTTATATTTAGTCTTCCCAGTGAAATATATGATTTCAAGCACAAAACGTAGCATGACAGAAGCACAGTGGTGACAGCTTGAGGTAGGTGGCTCTCTTCTGGGTCACAGTCCCCAAGTGCCTTGAGCCCTCCTGACTGGCACATGTTCTCCTACTCATCCTGCTCCCACCTGGCTCAGCAGGTGAAGCCACATCATTTCTGGCTTCTGCTGGGTCACCAACTAACCCTGGGGGACCCTCCAGATGGAGAATTCTTCACCTGAAGCACATAGCATCCGGCACAGAGCCTGTTGTCCCTGACAAGCCTGAGTCCAGACCAAATTATTTTTTAAAATCAAAATACATACTGTCTAAAAGAGATCTAACCAAACACCTCTATAAGAAATTAAAAACAACAGAAGGGAGAACAAAAACAAAAAGTTCCATTGTAAATGGAAATTAAACAGGGAAGGCAATATTACACTTACAGAGCCACAATTTTAATGGGAGATTTAACACACCACTATCAGTTCATAGCAAAATAAACTATAAAAAGGAAGATTCTTTTATTTGATATTTAGTGAGCATGTACTATGGACAGGAATGTTCCAGACACTAGAGGTACACTTATATAGAGAACAAGTACTTACATACAGGTGCATTTATATACAGAATAGATTAAAAGGCATCAAACAAAGAAATACAAAAGGTGATGAATTTTTAAGAGTAATAATTAGCACAGGATTAGTACATATGGAGTGCCAAGGGTATGGAAGGACTAAATAACTTAGTCTTGGAGTCTAAGAAAGTTTACTTAGAGTAGATTTTAAACTGACACCTAAAGGCTGAGGTTGAGGAGGAGATAACTAGATAAAGATAGGGTAGAAGAGGGGCGAGAATGTGTAAAAGCCTGGAGAGGAAAGATAAGATAGTGTGAATTCAAGAAATGAAAAATTTTCCATCGGCCTAAAGTGTCGAGTAAAAAGTTGTGGGGTGAGAGATGAGGATAGATGAGTGGAGAGAGGGTCATAAAAGGACTTGTGAATGTTGTTATAATCTTCCTAAGTGCAATAGGGAGCCCTGTAAAAGTTTCAAAAATAAGGAGAAACATAAGTTTTAAAGGGATAGCTCTTTTAAAGGGATAGCTCTTCCAATTACATAGAGAATGGAGGAGACCTTGAAAGTACCATGGAAATCTGTCAGGAGGCTAAGACAGAAGTCCAGGAGAGAAAAAATTGTGACTTGTAGGCAATGACAGTGGTGAAGGAGAGAAGTAAATACACTTGGGCATTATCTATAAGGTAGAATGGATAAGACTTGGTAATGAATTGTGTGGGTGAACGTGGCGGATGGTATTTCCACAGATGGTCATAATGTTTTCCATCTATATCAAGAGATGGAGGCTTTTTCCACCTCCCACCTCTGCATGGGCCCCAAGACTACTCTGAATAATAGAATATGGAAGAAGTCACACTGTGCCAATTCCAGTTGTAGTACCCAGCTGGCCTGGAGTCTTCCACTTTCCCTCTTAGAACCCTGCCTCTATTTAAGAAATGTGACTACCCTGAGAAGGCTAAGCCATGTGGAGAGACCCTGGAAAATGCCAAGCCATGTGAAGGTAAAGAGATCAAGGAGAACAGAGTGTCAGACATGTGACTGAAAAAGACATCTTGAAAGTGGATCCTCTGACCTCAGATGCATAGCTGATGCCACACAGATCAGAGACAAGCTGCCTAGCCGGATCCTTCATGAGTTCTTGACCCACAAAACCAGGAGCAAAATAGGTGGTGGCTTATATACATTTTGGAATAATTTGTGAGGTAGTGATAAGCAGAACAGTGACGGGGAGAGAGACATGTAAGAGTACCGCCATGTTAGCTTTCTGTTACTATAATAAAGAGAAAATGTTTGTTTTATCTTCCAGTGTGGGTGGTTCCTATCCATGATCAATTGGCCCATTGTTCTTAGGCCATTTAAAATGTAAGGCTGAAAATGATATGCTTATCAGGATGCCGACAGATGTGGTAGAGCAAAACCCCTCACCTCATGGCTGGGGAAGTGAAAGAGAAAGAGGAAGAGACAAGGGTTCCATAACCATCCTTGAGGGCATTCCCCAAAGACCTAAAGACCTCCCACCAGGCCCCACCCAAGCCTTTAACACATGGGCCTTTGGGGCACATTTAAGATTAAAATGACAGAAGTCAGGGTTATGGTTTCTATGGCAGTGCCTTTTTCTGAAATAGAAGATGGTTGAGAAGATGAGAAGTTCAGCTGAGTTTAATTCATCCATGAAAAACCTTTGTGTAGTTTCTAGTAGGTATCTAGGTGGATGGTCTAGTAGGCAGAGTGAAACCAGATCAAGATGGAATCGCAAGAGAAGCAACATTTAGGGGACCTTTTCCCTAAAGGAAGAACTTGTTAAGAAGGCCATGAAGGAGAAGCCAGACCCCACAAGAGTGCAAAGATTCAGAAACCAAGGGCAGAAAAGAATCTCAAGAAAGAGAAGAGAGTGAAGAACGTTCCGGGCTGCTGAGAGATCCAGTCTTTCATGGTCCTCTGTGTACCCCCTGGATTAGCAACTGCAAGGGAAACTTTAGGGAGGGATGGGAGGGAGAAGGCAAAGTCTAGACTGACAAGAACTTGGAAGGAGGAGAGAACACAGACAAGGGAGTGTGGGCAATATTCAACATGAGTCTGACTATAGCAAAGCAGGAAAAATGTGGCTATATCTTAATCCTCCTTAAGATAGACCAAGGGTGATTGAGTGTTGCTTTTTCTTAGGATGAGGAAGACAAACATTTTTTTCTTAAGAAAAAAAAATTACCACGATAGTCTTTTCTGTTACAGATGTTCAACTGTCTTCTGGCTTCTTCCATTGCTGTAGGAGGTACTAGTGTTCCCAAGTCTGGGCCTTCCATGGTGGCAGTCATTTTACTTCTTCCTCAGTCTCCCATACAGGATCTCCACCTTTCTCTAATGGCAGTTTCCTCTTCTCTACTGATTTTACATTTAAAAAAAAAAGGTATTGCCAACATCTGAATATATGGTGGTTTCTTCTACAATTCTCTTTGCTGTTGTTGGTTTATACCTCCTAAAAAAAAACATTTGGTTTTACTATTATTTTAGTGGGTTTTTTTTTTTTGCTTTTTTTTTAATTTAAGGAAGAGAGGTACCTATATGTGTGCCATCTGCCTTGTTTAGTTGGATTCTCTTGTCCAAGAAATATTCATAGCACCACTTATTTGACCAGAAAGAAAATGATCATATACTTCCCAGAGCAAAAGTCTTATAGGCCAAATTATCTGACAACGATGGGAAAGGAGAGGTGAAAATAGGGGCGAGAGATATGCTGGGTTTTGCCACTTGGGCTTAACAGGCCCAGCTGTGGGTTGAAATAAGGTGCTGTGGTTTGGGTCTGAACCAGGGTTTCCTTTTCCTTATAGTCATTTGGTACTGGCAGCTGTGAAATGGCAACTATCAAATGTGAGGGACAGTTGGTGGCAACAAGAAAGCAAGCCTAAGCCAGGCGCCTTTCCTCCATAGCCCTTCACCTTCCTGAACTGGAGTGCCTAGTGAAAATACTCAAAACAGCATTGTTTATAGTAGCCAAAGAGGACACTATCCAAATATCCATCAATGGGTGATATAAAAAAAGGCTGATCACCACACAATGGGATACTACTAGAAAACTGAAAAGATATTTGGTTTTGTAGCATGGCATGGGGAGACGGTGGAGGTTCAGGAAGGGGGCATGGGTGAGAAAGGTGAGCACACAATGGGAAAGCTCGGTGGTGCATTTATCTCTACCATTCCCCTGTCCCTGATGAAAATAAACCAAATAGGTACAGATGATCCTGGGCACATGCAAATATCCTCAACATCATTACTCATTAAAGAAATGCAAATCAAATTCCAGAGACCACTTCATTCCCACTAGGATTTTGATAATAAATGTGACAGATAAGAACAAGTGTTAGACTGTAAAGAAATTATGACTTTCAGGGAGCAGTGTAGCACACCTATACTCCCTGCAGCTTGGGAGGCTGAGGTAAGAAGACTGCAAGTTCAGGCCAGCTAAGCAATTTGATGGGACCCTGTCTTAAAATAAAAAAGGACTTGGGTATATGACTCAATGGTAAAGTACTTCTGGATTCAATCCCCAGTAACAACCTCCCCCCCCAAAAAAAAAGGAAAAAAAAAACCTCATCTGTTGCTGTTAGGAATGGTGCAGCCACTTTAGAACATACTTTTTCAGTTTCTCAAAATGTTTAATATATAATTACCATATAGCCCAGTTCCCCTGCAAAAAGTACACATCCTAATTCCCAGATCCCATGAATATTTTTTCTTACATGGAAAAGGGGATATCACAGATATGATTAATTTAAGATTTTTGAGACAAGGAGATTATTCTAGATCACTGTAATCCCATGGATCCTTATAAACAAACTGAGGTGGAAGCAGAGATAAGGCAACAGAAGCCAAGGCTGGGAATGATGTGGCCATGAACTAAGGAATGTTGGCAGATGGACAAGACAAGGAATGTACTCTCCCATGAAGTCTCATGAAAGGACAGAGTTCTGCTAATGCCTTGATTTTAATCTGTAAGACCCATTTTGACTTTTGATCTCCAAAACCAAGATAATTTTGCATTATTTTCAGCCATTAAGTTTGTGATAATTTGTTGTAGCAGCAACAGGAAACTCATACCCACAATTCCATTCCAAGGTGACTACACAGGAAAAATAAAACCACATATCTATACAAAAAAAATGCATATGAAAATACTCTTAGCAGCCTTATTCACAACAGTCAAAGAAGACACAGTCCAATTGTTCATCAGTTGGTGATATTAAAAAAAAAAAAGCTTTATAGACTTACAATGGGACACTACTTGACAATAGAAACATAAAGTAGAACTGGTGGTTGCCAGGGGCTGGGAGAAAGGGAGATGGGAAGTTATTTAATTGATAATGTCTCCATTTTATAAGTTAAAGATAGTCCTGGTAATGGATGGCAATAAAGATTGCCCAACATTGTGAATGTATTTAATATTGTGTGGATTTCACTTCAATTGAAAAATAAAATGAAGTCCTGATATATGCTACAACCTGGACAAACCTCAAAAATATGCTCATGAAAGAAACTAGACCCAAAAAGCACACATGCTATAAGATGGCATTTGTATGAAATGCCCAGAGAATGCAAATCTTAGATTGGTGGTTACTTAGGGCTGGAGGGAAAGAGAATGGGAGACTGTATGAGCACCAGGTTTCATTTTGGGGTGTTGCATGTGTTTTTAAATTAGGTTATGATCACTGCACAACTCTGTAAATATATTAAAATCATGAATCTTGAATTTTATGGTATATACATTAAACTCAACAAGCTGTTAACCACAGTTTTTTTTTTTTTAAGTGTAAGGGTTGTATTCTTCTGATCCTTAAGGATGTGCACATTTCCACTCGTAATTTTCTGAGTGATCTAAAGGACATCATCTTGACCTTTGTCTCATAGCAACCTCATAGAGTTCTCTCAGCACAAACTCCAGCCAGTCTGGCATTCTTAGATCCTTGGAGAGAGGAGAGAAGTGGTTCATTTATGCTTGTTGAAGAGGTAGAGTTTCAAAGAACACTGACCTAAGAACATAAAGGAGAAAAATAAAAGCATAAATAGAATTTGGGGTAGAGGGAGATGCTTGTTGTTGTTTAGGCAAGAGATGATAGCAATATCTACCTTTTATTTACAGTAAAGAGTTAAAAGTCTAACTTTGGGAACAAGTCTTGTAAAAAAAATATTTTGAAGCAAATAACAGTAAGTAGAGTTCACCTTTGGGCAAAATTTTTAAAAAGTCAAGAAAACCGGGATGATATTTTTGTGTGTACTCATGCGCATGTATGACTTACACTGGTCAAAAAGAAAGTAAACAATGTCTAACTTTGAACCCAAAACAATATGTATTTGATCAAAGTCTCTCTTTGATGTGCAATGAATATCTTCCAGAGAGGGATAGAAATTGGGGAATTTGCTAGAAGTCTCAAGAGATGGGAGGTTATTGTTTTACAGCCTTCACACTTCAAAGGTGACCTGAGGTTTGAAAATCATAAATCTTAAGTTTGAGATGTGAGAACAATTGTTTGTAGAGGAAGTAAACTCTCTGACATTTCCTAACACTTAGTTTGAATCAAGTGGTACTGTCTTAAAATGGTTTGCTTGAGGAATTCATTTCCTTTTATATTATTCTAGAAGAGATTTAACTCAAGTCAGCTATGGACACCAAAGGCTTGATGGGAAACAATTGGCCCTTCTTTCATTGGTTTTTCTATGCTTTTCTGGGGGGGGGGGGGCATTAGAGAGGAAGAGCTGTGCTTGAGATGGGTTGTGCACCGGTAAGTGGTGAATGAATTCTTGTGAGCCCTGATGGCCAGCGGACAGGAAGCACAGGCAGTCCCCTTGCCAAGCCTTTGTAGCTGTGACAGCCCGTGGCCAAATGCTGGGTAGTAGCAAAGGCCATTGCTTTTCTCTCAGACTGTCTCACTGCTGCAATGAGGTTTTTCTCCCTGACATAGAGCTACACTGAAGTTAACCTGGCCCCCTTTACTGTATACCCATCTGTCACAAGCCCTCCGTGGGCTGTGTGTGGACTGTGTTGCACACAGTATCCTCGTGAAGGGATAAGTCTGGCATTGGGAACTCCCTGGGGCACCCCCACAGCGACTGACCACCTGATGCAGGTGAACTTCCCCGTCAAGCTCTGCCAAAGATCCCGCATAGCACCTGAGATGGGCGTGACCTGCCAAGATGTCGATCCCTGCTGACTGCAAGACATCAGGAAGCAAGACTCCCCACCCTTGAAACCTTATCCCTGCTTTTGATGTATCCCCTTAAATAAACCACTGTAGCCATCTTCCTTTTGTCTAGTTCCAGAACCCATGTGGACTAGATCAGGGGCTCTGCTTTTGTAAATATATTTCTGACTATCTGTGTTTTGTTATTCACTAATTAGTTTAGACTTTGTTTTAGGGTAGCTTACATCCTCCTGGGCAGGAAGAAGAACCCCCGCAATGAGATACTGGCTGTGGCCCCTGTTATTCATGCTCAACAGGCCTGCCCATGTGAAGGTCTGGAATTAGCCACCAGGAGTGGGCTCCATATTCTGAGCCAGAGAAAAGCTCACAGTGGGAGGATGACTTCTGCAACAAGTATCTGACTTGGAGAGGGCTGCTGCTGGGAACTGGCTGGCCTCGTCCTGTAGGAGTAGATGGCTAACATGCTGTCTTCCTCTTGGGCCCTCCTTGCTCTGGCTGAAGGCATCCACTCTTCACAAATTCTTGGGGTTCTAACTCGTGACCCTAGGAAGTCCTAGGTGACAACGTGGGGCAATGTGGCATGGAGTATGGGATCAGAGGGGATGCTGAAGAAGGATGTGGAGGGAATGAGGAGTCACAAAGAACCTATGGGGGATGGAGGTGTCACAGCACAGCCTATCTTTCCCTTTTCTTGTGGGGCAATCCCTCCAATATGCCCAGCACCACCAAGGACACAATTACTCTTTGGATGGTGAGGGACCCTTTCTTGGTAGGTGTGCTCTTGGTTCACAACCCCATTTTAAAGGTATTAATACAGATTTCTTGAATATTTTCACCCAAACTTTCCTTGCTGGGCTTTACTTCCAGTTTGCAGGGGCTCCAGTTCTCTAGCCTGATTCCAAACGGTGACTTACAGGTGCTCCCTGAGGCAGAGAGGGAGTATGTGCACCCAGCCCCTCCTAGTCCATCTGTCTAGTCTACCTACCCTCAGTCTCCTCGTAACCAACCAACTCAACCTCTACCTCCCTGTTCTGTCATGAGAAAGTGAGTTATTCTCCCTGAATCTGGCCTCCTATTTCTCTTAGGATTAAATCCTAACTATATGAATAGCCAAGATATTTAAATAATTAATATTAATATCTAACATTTATTGAACCCTGTCTGTTGAGTACTGCTTTAGGCACTCTATAAGGAGCGATTCATTTCACCCTAACAACACGGACACACCATATTTCACTGATTCTAAAACATAAGCTACTTTTCACATTTTAAACATCTCTAA